AACTTTCCACTAATTTAACAACTGAAGACAAAGAACTTTACACTAATTTACTTCATTTAGTTTGCAAACTATTTACTATTTTACAGATAGATGGGATGGCAAATGCACTTTAAKCCAACTGTAATAGATATTATTATTATATCCTATCATCATGGTATGTGACCGTGGGTAAATTGGAGGAATCTTCTTTATTATTTACACCATTTTCAACCGATATTACTGAAATAAACTGTCAATAATTTTAAGTAAAGTCATGTATCACGTGAACTTGGAAAGAAACTGTTGTCATGATGTCGCTTTTTATCACTGATGGACATACTTATAATTGAGAAGCTGGAAACCACTCTGCTTTTCGTCGTGGTTTCCTACGATTACCTCGTGTTCTCCCTACATCGCGCGTGTTTTGATCAGAGTATCAAGCGCGGAAATCCGTTATATATTTCTCTTATAATACTCCTCCATTTTCCATTGCTAGCATGATGTCACGCTAGAAATCGATCTGTATTCAGGGGTCATAGCTCAAGCATGTTAAGGCAGGGTCATTTTGTTGATATTAGAAAAACACGATTCCTTTACACCCGACTTCAAATGAGTGCGAACTCTCGAATTTTTTTTCGGACGCTAAACTTTCACTCGACCGTCATTCACTCGACCACTTGGTAACCTGGCACAGCTTGAAGCGGGTAAAATTATCCAAGTATAAAAACCATGGTTAATGTATGTCTGCGGGCTAAATTCCTACGGTTTGTGATCGCACTATACAAAACGAACTTATTGTAAAAACTAGTTTCGGTTTAACTTAACTTTCTCAGCTCACAATTACAGCGAAACAGTTGAAAAATAAATAGCATGACAAGCGCGCGCACTTTAAATCGCTTTTAGTGTTCGTTGGCTGTTCTTTGTTGAATTTACTAGTTTACTGATTAAAATGAAGAGGTTATTGGACGATATTCGGTGGAGGGTTATTTACCATGAACTTATTTACGGTTCAAGCATTAAGGAAACTTGTAGAGCGTTATTTGTAGGGAAAACGTTTGTTTGTAAAATTCGACAACTATGTTGCTGTACATACACGGTGTGGAAGGCCTCGACTTCTCACACGTAAGTGTCATTGTAAACTTGTATTCAATCACAGGGTTTTTACAGTAATACGAATAAGAATATATTTACTTCTTCGAAAGAAGGTTACATTTAAACATAAGTTACTTCGTTTTCAACCTTTAATTTAAACAACAGTGTTGCAACTATTTTTTCGCTTGCTTGATAATTTTTTTTATTGTAAACTTAAATTGTTTACATAACGAAAGAAAAGAAAAAATGTGTATTTTAGTTCAACATAAGAATATTTTTTCAAGATGCAGAAAACAACACCCTCAAGTTCATGGTTCTTGCAAAGCTATACCTAATTGTGCAAAGTATTATTTGCATGCATTTCATGTTTACAAGTTAATAAAGCCAAATTTAAACTACAAACCAGATAGAAAATTATATTTTTTAATCAAGTTTAGTTGATATTCTTCTAATTGTTCTCAATTGCATTGAGTGAAGTAGAATGTTCTGTGAAACACAAGGACCACAGGTAT